CTATTGTAATTTCTGGTTTTCCATTAACTTGCATAAGATAAATTGACAATTATATACTGATACTAATTTGGGCAAATTTCCAAGAGTAAAAACAATTCTCCCCCCCAAAAAAAATTAGCATAAATACTCTGCTGTAAGTAATACTTCACCCAACGATGCTATTATAACACAGCAATAGTACTGAGTACAGGGTTACATCTGTAATCTTCACACTCAAGACAGAGGTAGTACTGAAACACTGCAGACCACTCTGGGCTATAGAGAGTTCTAAATTCAGGAGTATATGGCAGGACTGACGCAAAAAACTAAAACACAATAGTAAAAACATACAAGACTATAAATACAATGTAAGAATTAAAATGTTTCAGAATATATTAAAATCATGTCATTTTAAAATAATATATATTAAGAATACATGTTTGACCAGAGACGTTTTTTGGAATGAAATCTGAATGAACACTAGACACAGACTGAATCAAGTTTTATCTATTCTTCACAATGATTCAAACTTCATACTTTGAAACACACTCTGAGAACAAACTCCACTTCTGAGTCAGCTGCCACCAGTGATGCTCTGACGTCCAGCATGAGGACAGGCTGCTGAGGTCAGCAGGTTCTCCTACATCACTCTGCATTACTCACTGCCCCAAACTGCTCACCAGTTGTTACAAGCCTCATGTAAGGAATGCTAATCCTGAAATGGGTCACAATTGAGTCTCCAAAAAATCACAGGAGGATTAAAGTGCAGTTAAACCATTACTGAACACTCTCGATGGGACAGAAGTATCGGACAGAATAACCACTTCTGAATTGGTTTCTTAATTACTTAATGTCTAATCCATGTTACCACTTATCTTTTAGGGAGAAAATAGTGGAATTTGAAAAGCAATATGAAAAGTTAATGGTACTTTTTTATGTCCTTCACATATGATCAAATTAGAAAGAACACATCATTTCCACATAGAATTTTACCTTGTATGAGGATAAAGATTTACATTTACTACTACTGTATTCCTAGCAGCCTATGTTACTGAGTATTTATATTGATTATTGGTAATATATATATATATATATATATATATATATATATATATATTTTAAAAACAACTACAATATATCAAATAAGAGGTTTAGTACTTAAAAAAATAAAGTTGGGTTATGAAGAAGTTTTTACAATTTCTCCTTGCTCCACATAATTTTTCAAGTGTCCTTTTCTAATAAAAACCCCAAATCAACTACAAGTGTCCTTTTCTAACTAAAAGCCCAAGTCAACTACACTTTAATGTCTATTAGCCTGTCATGACTTTACCTTCTTCATCACTTCCCTGGGTGATGATTTCTAAGGCACCAAAAAATAATTCTGTTGATTTTACTTACACTGAAGGTCAGAAAGAATAAGAAGGACCACTGGACTTTGGTTCTAGCTCCAACCTAGACACTAAAAATTCTGATTTCACTAAATTATGCAAGGAAGGACTGGCCAAACATCATTTGCATTTTCTATTCTCTATGCACATTTTAAAGTATCTGTCTGCTGAGAGAAAGGAGGGGGGATGTGCACACCTGTGTAAGGGTTAGGGGTGGGGGATGTGCATACCTGTGTAAGGGTTAGGGGTGGGGGATGTGCACACCTGTGTAAGGGTTCAGGGTGGCTGTTTTATCTCATTTTCCTTTTGGTAGTGCTGGTGAGTGAACTCTGGCTCTTGCACATGTTAGGTTCTTAATGTTCTTGCACAGTTCTTAACTGTGACATGACATATAGAATCATATTTTAAATACTGATAACTTTCACTATCTACCTTTTAACACCGCTTTGTTTTAAATTATGTATAATTAAACCGCTTTGTTTTAAATTATGTATAATTAAAAGACCAAAATGTAAGTAACTACCTACATACCACGGATTGTACACAAAGTAGACTAAGAATTACATAAAGGTTAAGCTGAAATAATGCTGCCATGAAGTAGAGGGGACATAATGACCATTTTTCAGAGTTCTCATAATTCCATCAAAATATTTTTGTATCTTTTCCCTTACAAACAGCTTATAACATTTCACATTCACCACCGTTAATATTGCCTCAGGCATCGAAATTGAAGCAGATCTGCCTCAGCCCAACTTGACCTCTAGGTCAAGGTCCCTCAGTTGCCTTAAGACTGGTGGTTGCTACAGCAGCCCCAGACACGCCAGCCTAAACAGGCTTCGGCTTCAAGGCAGAATGCATTTACTACTAGGCAGAAGGACGGATGCAGCTGTCTCAGCATGTAGCATGTGAATCAAACTGTGTTTGTGTGCTTGTGTGCTTGTGTGCTTGTGTGGTTGGTTGGCTAGTTGGTTGGTTAGTTAGTTGGTTGGTTGTTCATGAGATCCATCTTATTCGAGCATGGAAAGGGATAAACAAAATGAAGAATGTAACTGCCTGAATCTTGGATTACTTGCACCTTGTGAACTCTTCCATCTCGCTCTGAATTTCCCTTCACTAGCACTTCTCCTGTGCACGGCTCCCTGATACAGGCCCCAAACATACCAACATAATGAGTAAAAAATGAGGCTCTGCTTAATTCAGCCTAAAACTAACAACAATAATTAAAACAGTTTTATAAAATCAGAAAAGAAAGTGTACACTGAAAATGTTCAAGTAAGACTTGGTCCAAGGGTATAAAACTCTCCTCTGGCTCACTTAACTACCTATGAGACAGAGCCAGTGTTTTTACGCACCACTCACATTCCCTAACCCAGTCCCATGACTTCCCTCATCCTGCTTATCTAGTGAGATTCTGAAGAAAGCCTTCTAAAGTCACACAATAGCCTCACTCACCAAACAGTCCATTTTCATGTCCAAAGATGGTACAAGTCACACCACTGACTTCCTGTACTAAACTGCTATTCATTCCTGTATCTCCATTCCTAACATCCAGTAACAGCGTCCATAAACATGCGCATTACACTACTCTAACGGTGTATCCTCCTAATACAGCTTACAGAAAATACCAAGAAAATGCATATGTATTATCAAGTCCCATATACTAGAAACTGTGCTCAAGTTTGTACTGATTTAGTTTATTTTGTCTTTTTAAAAACAAAACTGGTGTGGCGGATCAAACCTAGGGCTTTAGACAGGCTGGGGCTGGCTCCGCCCACAAAGCAATTTATACCTGCATGCTATACAACCTAATGATTTAAAAAATACAGCAAAGTTTTCTGAAATTTTCAAGTATCTCTTATTCGAACTTTGAAACTAAGATAATTACAGAGTGAAGTGGGTGTGGTAGCACAAACCTACCAACTTGCCAATGGACAAAGACAATCAGTCTGAGGGCAGGGCTTTGCTTTAAATCCTGGGGGAGGTGGGGGTAGCTACACTGGATGGCTCAGTGGGTAAAGGCACTTTCAGTCCTATGGCAGGCATTTCTGTCCCTTACCCACTTAAGTTTGGTCTTCACAAAACTCTATAAGGTAGAAGGAAAAAGCCAATTCTACAAGTTGTCTCTTAGGTAAACATGCACACTAGTTTGTGCTCACATACATCAAAGACAAATACACACATCCACTCACACAAATAAATAATTCTGTGTGTGTGTGTGTGTGTGTGCATGTGCGTGTGCGTGTGTGTGTGTGAGAGAGAGAGAGAGAGAGAGACTTAGGATTCTTGAACCACTGCCATTGGAATTATCTGTTTATTTGGCTTTTCAAAACATTATTTGTCTTATTAATAAGATACAAGAGAGGGCTGGAGAGAAGGCTCAGCAGTTAAGATCACTGACTACTCTTCCAGAGGTTCCAAGTTGAATTCCCAGTAACCACATGGTGGCTCACAACCATCCTTAATGAGATCTGAGGCCCTCTTCTGGTGTGTCTGAAGATGACTACAGTGTATTCAAATACATAAAATAAAAAAATAAGATACAAGAGTATGGTTTTTCCTATTTGTCTCTTGTCTTTGCAACATTCCTACTGCCAGGCCTAGCAGAGCTTACCAGTGTCAGTTACTCAGGAGTCTAAAAAGCAGACCTACTTAGCCCGAAGAATGAGTCCAAAGAACCCTGGGCGACTCAGTTGAGACCCCACCTTAAAATAATTAAAAAAGAAAAAAAAAGAAAAAAGAAAATTCAAGGGCTGGGTAAGATACAGGTCAGTGGTAGAACACTGGCTGGTATATTAAAGCACTGGATTTTAAGAACTGAAAAATAAAATAAAAATCCTATAAATGAGGCTGCATATCAAGCTACAGATCAGATTGTGGCAGAAAGGAGAGAAAAATAATCAAATGTTTATTTGTCAACACTTATCTCCCACTAGGGAAAAAAAAAAAAAGAAAGAAAAGAAAAACTTCTAGTGTATGAAGGCACCATTCATTTTTTTAAAAAATATTATATTTGGGAAGAAGAGTCATGTTTACATTTTGGTTTTTTTGTTTGTTTGTTTGTTTGTTTCGAGACAGGGTTTCTCTATGTAGCCCTGGCTGTCCTGGAACTCACTCTGTAGACCAGGCTGGCCTCGAACTCAGAAATCCGCCTGCCTCTGCCTCACAAGTGCTGGGATTAAAGGCGCGCGCCACCACCGCCCAGCTCTCATGTTTACATTTTGAGATTTTTAAATATTCATTTTTATTATTATTTTATTGTGTGTTTTATTGGGGGGGGGTGTGCACACGAGTGCTGACACCAATAGAGACCACCTTGGAGCTGGAGTGATAGGTGCTTATGAACCAGCAGAAGTGAGTGCTGGGAACTGACCCAGGTTCTCCACAGGAACAGCACATACTCTAACCACTGAGCCACGCTTCCAGCCTGCAGTCTTGTATTCTACATCCCCTCCTATGTTAATTACAATATTTTAGACAAAAGCTTTTCAAATACTATTTGTGCAATTTTAGATGGTCTTCTGAAACACAGCCCACAAAAGCCCTAAACTGACTCCTACTTTTTCCTACATTTTCTAACCTTTTGTTGGAGAGAACCTTTCGCATAGCTAAGGCTGGCTCTGAGCTATAACATACCTGAGTTGTAGCAGCAGCAGGGGTTACAGACGACGCAGCTGAGGGGGAGAGAGCTCCCACCTGTTGCAAATGCCCAGATGACTGCTGAGGTATATGAGAGCTAGAGACAGGAGTACTAGATCCTGAGCCAGACACCACGTTTGGGAAGGATACGGCTACATCATTGCTGTTATAAATACCTGCAACCAAAGAAATTTTATTTAAGTATCTTATAATTTAGCAGTCAAATTGGTCAGACAAGATTTTTCCTTGATCCCTTCCCTACTGATAAATTTTAATTAGTGATTTAAAACTATGTTAGAAGACACTAACACTAACTTTTCATAAAATATTTGTCTAAAAGAACCTATGTCACTTTTGACTCAGCAAGTATTTTTGTTAAAGAAGCAAACAGTTAAGCATTGTTGGCATTTCTAAGAGCAACAAAAAACTTCCAAACAGGAGAATGAAGCAGCTGGGGGCTGTTTTAAAACCACTTGGTAAGCCTTTCAAAATGCTCAAGAACCCTAGAAATCATGACTGAGAAGCTATAAAATGGGGGTGGGGGGACTTGTTCTAGAAAGACTACAATGATATAGGTCAGGACTAACTTGATTCCACTAATAAAAGGCCTCCGTGCATCACAGCAGCAAGAACAGAAGTGGCTTCTACCAAGAACAGGAACAGTTCTGCCACAAGTTTCTGAGTGAATAGGGCATGGAAGACAAGGTAGCAGCCACTTTTTAATTTGACAAGAAAATGAGGACAACTTGATAAAGGAATATTTTTTCATTGATCTGTCAGGTAAAGCCATGAGGAAAAGGAAATGAGGATGTACTTCTTCATCTAGAAGAAGAGCTAGGAAGAAAAGCAGGAGCAAAGACAAGCTCAGCATAAACTAGCAGTTGTTCCTGGGCACCCATGCCCCATGTATTCTCCTATGGGGAAGGGGTTGACAGATACGTAAAAGCTTTATGGTGTAAGCATGAGAAGCTGAGTACACATCACTAGTAACATCATTTTATGAATGAATCTGGACCATGTAACTAACTCCAGCACTAGGGAGAGAGAAGTGGGCAGTGGAGCTTGAAAGCTTACTGGAAACAAAAATCTCTAGGTCAGGAAAAGAAAGCTGACAGTGACAGATCAAGGCACCTGATGGCCTCCTCCAGCCTCTGTGTGCACAGACCTTGGCTGCAGATGAACAAATACCAAGGGTGCTGGGGCAGGCACGCACGCACGCGCCCATATAGAGAAAGAGAGGCTGACCCTAGCCAGGAAGGACTCTGCAACACAGAAACAAGTGCCAGTGCAGGAGACACTTTTGTCAATGTCCTAATTTGCAAAAAGTTGGAAATGCTCTTGATCCATGGTGAGAGGCCAAGGATGCTGCAGACATCTTCTAATCCGTCTGACAATTTCCTGGAAGGTAATAAATTACCTTCTCCAGTGTATCAGTAAGTATATCCAAACTGAAAAACCTGTTTCAACCATGAAAGGAAGAAAGGAGGATGTGGAGCAAAATGAGGGAGGGAGGAAGGAAGAGAGGGGGGTGATCAAGAAAACCTGATTTAAGTAGGACAATGAGGGAATATTAATAAATATTAAAAATAATTAATATTAAGTGGGAAGGAAGGCTGTAGTGTAACACTTCTTAGAGGCTGAGGTGGCTCAGTCAGTGAAGTGCTTGCTATGCCAGCATTATGACCCAAACATAATCCTCAAAATCCATGTGAAACAGCCAGGCACTTGTAAAACCAGGGCTGTAAGAAGAAACTGACAGGAGGATGGGGCCTTCTATCACAACTGGGGAGCTCCAGGTACATTGAGAAACTATCTCAAAAATTAAAATGGAAAATGATAGTGAGTGGAAAGTGACAGAAGAACGTACTATCAGCTCTGGCCCCTGCATGTCTCTACACATGTATGTATGTATGTATGTATGTACGTACGTATGTATGTATGTATGGTGTGTATGTGTGTCTCACACACACACGCGCACGTACGCACACACACACTATACCTCTAGAAGGTAATAATAATTAGTAAATATATCGGCTTATCAGTAAGATTTATGTAATTTTAAAGAACATAAATATTGATTCACCCTTATAAAAAACACCATCTCCTTCAAACAGAAATAGAGAGAACTAGGACATTTTAAAGGCTTTACACCTAGAATTTAAGTTTTTATATCATTTTTGAATCAATAGTTTCTAGAGGAAAAAAAAATAATATATTCATTCTGCAAATATCTGAGAACTCACTGTTTCCCAGACATTATTTTAAATCTTGGTTAGCATTATTCAAGATATATATAGTTTCTGCTTTCAAGAAACTTGGCAGAAATGAGAATTACAGCAACCCATGAAAGGCACTGGAGACTGTCCTGGGTAGGGTGGGGTGAGTGTGCACAAAGGGTATGTATCTAGCTCCCTCAGTCCTGGACGACAGACTGGGGATGTAGTACAGTACCTCTACAGCACATGTCTAAGAGCGCTACACAACAGGGAAGGATGGAGTGGGGAAGAAACATGGCGAAGAGCAGGAATGTGTGGGCACGCACCTACTGTGCGAGACAACAAGAAAACTGATAGCAAAGCAACAGCAGTAACAGTTAAATGTTCTTACTTGGACACAGTTAAGAACTCACTGACCAGTCTTACGCAGACTGTTGTAGTCAATACTGGGGGATCATGTAAAACATAATTCACTGGCAGCAGGCTGAGATAAACTGTGAGGAGCTGATACAAAACTGCCGACAAACAAAGACAATCAAGGCAACAATGATGACTGAACAAATATTACAAAGTTCATGGGACTTAATGACTAATTAGACCTGAAAAAAAAGGGGTGGGGGCACAGTCCTCAATAATTCTTAAGCACAAGTAAGTGGAGTGAAAGATTCCTGAAAACAGAATAGCAAGGAAAAAAGAGTATTTGGTTTCTATATATTGCTAACTACTTTTACATATAAGCAAACATAAATGTAAAGAAAGTGACACCCCATCCCAGTCAGAATTGTGTCATTAAGAAAACAAATGACAACAAATTCTGGCAAGGATGTGGGGAAAGAGGAAGCTTATGTATTGATGATGGAAAGGTAAGCTTGTGTCATTTTGGAAATCACTGTAGAGATTTCTAAAAAAACTAAAAAAATTATCATGTGACCCAACTATACTAACCACCACCACTTTGGAATATATTATAGTAACAGGATTCTACATCAGCATACCATAGAGCCAGATACTCAATCCTCTATGTTCATACCTGCTCCCATCCAAAATGCCAAGGAAAAGAACAAGCCTAGACAGCTATCAAGAAATGAATAGATGAAGAAAATGTGGTACATATATACACAAGGAATTGATTTTGGGAGTGGGGTTTAAGACAGGGTTTCTCTGTGTAGCCTTGGAACTTCTGTGTGTCCTGGAACTCACTCTATAGACAGGATGGCTTCAAACTAGGAGATCCACCTGCCTTTCCCTCCAGGGTGAATTAAAGGCTTGCACCACCACTGCCCAGCAACACAAAAAATTTACAGCCAGAGGGGGGGTGTATGTGTGTGTGTGACAAGAATGTAGAAAAATTGATGTAACTGGGTATCATATTAAATGAAATAAGCTAAACTCAGAAATACTGCATATTTCCTCTTATGGGGAACTTAGATTTAAAGAGGGGTGTGTGTGTACACAAAATAAAAATTAAGAAACAAGCTTAATCAGAATTAGTAGAAACCATTTCCTATTATAAATCTGAATTACAAGATGATTATCACAGCCAGGCGGTGGTGGCGTGCACCTTTAATCCCAGCACTTGGGAGGCAGAGGCAGGCGGATTTCTGAGTTCAAGGCCAGCCTAGTCTACAGAGTGAGTTCCAGGACAGCCAGGGCTACACAGAGAAACCCTGTCTCAAGGAGAAGAAGGGAAAGAAAAAAAAAAAAAAAAACAAGATGATTATCACAATCTTGGAGATTCCTGTGCACATAACACAGCTGCACAATCTAGACATGACTGCCATGTGAGCACAGAGCCTCAGGACCACCTTACTCTCCCCAGCAGGAGAGCTAACAGCTACGGCACTGCTACACAAGCCTAAAAACTGGAATTCCAGCCCCAAACCCATCAAAGAATGAGAAAGCGGACTCCACAGAGTTGTATTCTGACTTTCACATCTATGCTGCTAATATTTACATGCACAAACAAAGGAACGGGCACGTTTAAGTAAATCTTTAAAACCCAGCTTGCACAAATCTCAGAGTCATATGCACAATGAGAGTAAGTAATCTCGTGAACTCTAAAACTGACTTTCTACTGTCCTGTGCCACGGATAACAGTGAATATGTAGAAAAGCACAAATTTTATTCAGAACCTAAAATTGTAGGTTCTATTTGAAAACGGCACACTTAGGCTGGGTGTAGTGGTGGTGCACACATTTAATCCCAGCCTGTGGTGAGGCAGAGCCTGGTGATTCCATGAGTTCAAGGTCAGCCTGCTCTACATAATGACGTCCAGGACACTCAGAACTATACAAAGAAACTGTCTTGGGGTAGGAAAAAAAAAACAACAAACAAACAGCAACAGCAACAAAGCAAAACAAAACAAAAACAAGAGCAAACAAAAAAAACAACATAAGATCTATCAAAGCAGATGGTCTACTCTGAAATACTAACCATCTGGCTAGTTGTAGACAGGATGTTCTTACTTTAACTCACCAGAGTTTCCATTATCACTCACCGTGCGGGTCAGTCATGTTATCCATCTTGCTCCTAACAATAATACAGGGTTTCCCACACTTTGTGAAGACAATGGTCAAAACAAGGAACAAAAATTACAACACCTAGGGATTTCTCAGAATGATCAAGGGAAGAGGACCATAGAAAGAACCTGATGGAGTATTATTCAAAAGAAAAAAGTACAAAAGTAACAAAACAAAAGACAGAAAACTGAAAACAAGAGAGATCTTACTCAAGCAACCCCCCAAAAAAGCTTCAAATACAACTACCAATGGACATTTAAGGCCTGAGTAAAAAGTCACTAAAGTGTAACAACAAATCATGGACCAATGACTAACACTTAATAAATTTAGAAGCTTGGAAGATGAATCCATCAGTAGAATGGTTGCCATACAAACACAAGACCTTGAGTCCACTCCCCAGAACCCATGGGAAGGCCAGGTACCATGTAACTCCAACAGTAG